GGGGAAAGGGTTAAAAGGCACCCGTGCCTTGCTTTAAAAATTAAATCCTTGCTGTCCCACTGACTTCCAGGGGAAACAGCTGGACCCAAAACCAGATTTTTGGATCCTCAGTGTGTTCCTGAGGTAACACACCCTGCCATGGTGCTGAAATGGTGTTAACTCTGAGCCCAGTTTGCTCCTGCCATGACTAAGGCAGCGACACTCCTAAAACTCTCATTCCCATCCGTTCATCCAACATCCTGCTGTGTCAGCTGCAGGCAGTGCTTGCTGCCAGCCCCACTCATCCCTGAGTGAGGGATAAATACCTGGGAAGTGCTCCATGAGGTGCTGCCAGCTCAGCCTCCTGCAGGGATTGTCATTCCCACGCTCTCCTGGGATGCAGCTCCGGGAAAGTTTGGTCCAAACCTGCATCTCCGCTGGGTGTTTGTCTTCTGGAACCACCCATGGAGCTCAGCAGGAATCCACTGGAGAATGATGCTGTGGAAGGACCCAGGAACCTTAATTTTAATCCTAAAACATAATTAATCCTAAAGCTTTGGTGATTTCAACACACTTCTCTTATTTAACTCCTTGGACAATGTGACCTGGAATAGAGGAATGTTGAATCCAAAGCAAGTTCTATCTGACTGCCCCTAAAATCAGTGAGATTTAGACATTTCTCTGTCCCAAGAGATTCACTCAGTTCCAGGATGTTTTTCACCCATTTTTAAAGAAGGCACTTCCTGATACCGGCCTGAAAAAAAATCCAGTTATTTATGAATGTTGGTTTTGTCGAGAAACCGAACAAAGAAAAATAGTGTTTGCAACAAATGAGGGCTGGAATAAATGCTGAATGTTTGTCTCTCCCCCCCACCCCTCTTTTGTGTCCTTATCTGCCCACAAATGTAAATTTGCTGGTTCTTTTTCTGGCTCCTGGGCTGATGTCCTTTGAACCACACACAAGCTTTGCAGGTGGAATAATATTTCTCCACAAGAAACATTAAGAAATATTAAGCTGCAAAGAATGAAATTCCCTCTCTGTGCCAACCCATTCAGAGGGGCTCAGAGCAGGCAGATGGGTGTGTAGAGTGCTTCCATTAATTTACAAACAGCTTTCGAATTATCCTGGTTTTTCTATCGCAACCTATTTTTTTCCCCTCAGCCAATTATAAGAAATGGGACTGTCAGAATTTGGTTTCTGCTGTCAGGCACTTCCAAATTATTTAGGTTTTATGGGGGCATGATAAGAGAGGAATAACTGTGTTTTGAGGTGAAGTTTTGAGGCAAAATTTGGGGGTGAAATTTTCTTTTGGGAGGTGAAAACGCAACAGGGAAACAACCTGGAAAACAACAGGTTATGGAAGGTGATTAAAACCCCTCCAAACTAGAATTTACCAGTGAGCAGAGGGTCAGGGAAGAGGAATAACAAACCATTTCTCCCAGGCAGGTGTCCCTTATCAGGAGCATTCCAGCCTGCCCTGTTTGTCACAGGAACCGGCCCGAGCGGGAGCGCTCGGAGCCAGGGAATGATTCAGTGGGGATGGGGAAGGGCAGGTGGAGCAGGTAAAGTCACCTCCAGACAGGAAGGTATAAAAGATCCTTGGATTGCAGAGCTGGGGCCACTCGTGCACAGGGAGCTCCTGGAGGTCACTTGTCCTGCCAGGAAAAACCACCCGGATCCGGGACACCAAGAGGACACTTATAAACACAAAAAAAGCCCCTCTGGAGAGAAGACTCTTCAGGGGTAGAAATCAAGAGCCCAGAACATGCTTTCCTCCTTCTAACAGCACCCTGAACAGGTATTTATTGACTTTAATCTGCTCCACAGCTCTTGCCTTGCTGGGGGTTCATTGCTCTGACTTAAAGATCCCATCAGGGGACCATCAGAACAGTGCTGGCCACTGGCCTGATGGAGCAGAACCCTTGTGATCTCCTTGGTTTTATGGGGTGGAAAGAAGTTTTCTAGAACTTGTAAGAAGTCCTGAATTACTTAGTTTTATTTATTTACTAAGCTGTATTTATTTAGTTAGTTTTATTTATTTACTTTTATTTATTTACTTAGTTGTATTTATTTACTCGGTTTTATTTATTTGCTGAGTCGATGTGTTTCTTCTCATTATTTACTGGTGTCCCTGAAGTTTCTGGAAAGCCCAGGTAAAAATATTTGGTAATAGGAGATAAATAGCAGCAAGGTCTGGGAGAGACTGTGGGGGTCTGAATAAAAAAAAAAAAAAAAATCAGAAAACCAAACAAAAACCCCCAAACCCCAATCAATTCTGTTAAAAAGACACAAGCAGAGGGGGGAGGCTGAGCATGAATCCAACCTGTCTCGTGCCTCAGCTCTGTTCCCTACTCTTTGTGTCTCCCCAGTTTAATTCAATTATCTGTGTAATTACCTGGTCCAGGTGCCACATAACACCGAGGTGTCGATATAAAATAACCAGCCTCTAAATTTATTAAAACTAAGACACATCCACAGCGTGACAACCCTGTTTAGGGAAGTTAAAATGCAGGCAAAGACTTGTCCCTTTGTTTAAAAGCAGCTGCTGTGAGTAAACTTCAAGTTTACTATCAGGATGTTGCTCTGACACGTTACAGAGCAGTAAAAAAAAAAACCTCAACAGAACAGCTTTAATTTCATAACAGGGGTTGTGAAATCCCAGCTTGTGCAAGCCCAGGCTCTCTCTTTCTGAGGTTACCTCCTGCCACTGGTTTTACTGCTCAGAATGTCTGAGAAACACTCAGGAACTGCAGAGAACTGGATTGTAGAGGATGGAGTTCTGCAAAAGAGAAATTTAGTAAAAAAAACCAACCAAAAACCAACCAAAAAAACCAAATAAAGAAACCCGGGGGTTTTTCCTCGTCTCTGTGCCAACTTAGGCTTGGATTTGTGATTCATCAGCATCTGCCAGATTGTGTTAAACATGCACGGGGATCTGGAGCCAGGAAATAAAAAAAAAGACATTAGAAACCATTCCAACTCGCTGCAAAGTGCACAGAATTTAACTTGAGGAGAAGCTTCACCAAATTTAACATTTAGATTAAGAGAAGGAAAAGAAAGGAGGTTCTGAAGGCTGGTTTCAGCTCTGGCAATGCCAGCTGTGAGGGGAGAGGGGAGAATTCTCCATCCTGAAATAATGGAGATTTATTTTAGTGCAGTGTGAGGGACACTTGGTCCTTCTGATCCCTTAAATTACCCTTTATATGGCTCTGGTCCACACACTGGGCTGCAGAGCTGTAATTACAGCACCAACCTGGACATTTCTGGCTTGTCATCAGCAAATCTCCCATCAGGGGAGAATCAAGCCCGGCTGGTTGGGTGACACATCCCAAAAAAATGTTCCTGTCACCAGGAATTTCCTCCAGCCAAACACTTGCTTTCGGGTAAAACCACTCAGCAGCTGCAAAGCTGAGCAGGGCTGTAGGTGAGGCTGCGAGTTTGGGGTAAAACAACCTGAGCTGAGGGTGCTGCCGAGGTGGGTGAAAAAACTGGAGTAATTTGTAAACTGATTTGCTGGAATTGGTGCCTCAGCCACTCCAGGCTCCTCCAGGGAGCACAGGGCAGCAAGGCTTTGGTGCTGAGCCTCCTCCTCCAGGGCTGAGCTGTGTGTCCTTAGGGAAACCAGAGCAACAAGGAAGCAGCAGAGAATTGCCCCTGCTCTGCCCCCAAGGCCATTTCCTCCAGCCTTGCCCGTCTTGCTGTGTCACGGTGACAGGGCCAGAGGTGCTGCTGGAGGCTGAGGATGGAACAGACGGTGCCATAAAACCATTTCCTCCCCTCCCTCGGCTTCTCCCGTGACACGGGGGAGTTCAGATCCCGCTGTGGATGGAGAGAACCTCAGGTGGTGCCTCACCCACCAGCAGCAGGACCACAGATCAAGGCAGAGACCCCCCCCCCCCCCCATTTCCCTCCACACCTGAACAGTGTTATCTGTCTCTTAGGCCTTGCTCTTGCTGCCACCATAATCCCTGAGGGCCTCCCAGACTAATAGATTGCCAGGGCGAGGCCCCTCATGGAGTCTTCTGCTCTCCTCCCTGCTCAGGTGTCGGGGAGCACCGCCCGGGGTAGGTCTGTGTCGTGTCTCTTGGTGCCCAGAGGGAGGAATTCAGGGGGAAGGACTGCTCCCATCTGTGATCTAGGGTGTCCTGGTGCAAAAGGCTTTGGCTCCTGGTGGATCTCTGCGGGTTCCTTGCTTCTGTGTGCAGGATTTTTGACTTCACCTTCGGGACGCAGCTTCCCACAGGCTCCCTGTGTGCTTCTCGCCTCTGGATGCAGTGGAAGCCACCAACTCGCTCTTTGTTCCTTTGAAGGGGTTAAAGCTGGTGACAGGGGTGTCTCCACCTTGTTTAAAATGAAGGCTTGTGGTTTTCTTCTCTTCCAGAGGCTCCCAGGGCTCTGTTCCTCTCCCGGGGCTCCGTCATGTCGTGCTTCTCCCAGCTGTGGCATTCCAGCACTCCGGACTCTCCCACCAGCCCGACCCCTGCCTCTCCTGGTGAAGTCCCCATCCCCATCAGCCCCATCGTGGTGACCTCCCCAGGAGATGGCAAGAGGAAGGCCAGATCCCCCACCAGCTCCCCGGGCTCGCCCAACCCCACCTCTCCCAAGCCGACCTCCCCCGTGGAGTGCTCCATCTGCTTCAACACCTATGACAACACCTTCAAGACCCCCAAACTGCTCCAGTGCTCCCACGTTTTCTGCCTGGAATGCGTGGCCCGCCTGAGCACGGGGCTGCCCCCCAACCAGCCCGAGGACCTGCTGCCCTGCCCCTTCTGCAGGCAGCTCACCAACATCCCCCAGGAAGGCGCTCCCGCCCTGGAGACCAGCAAGGAGCTGCTGGCCACGCTGCCCCCGGAGCTGCAGCGGGAGAAGGTGCTGTGGATGGAGGGCACCAAGCTGTGCTGCCGGAGGGCCTCGGACGACGCCGAGAACCCGGAGTCCTGCATCTCCATCGACGTGGCCATGAGCAAGCCCGAGAGCCCCGAGGCCCCGCCGAGGGGGCTGGCGGGGAGGTTGTCCCGCTGCGAGGTGTGCGACGACTGGAAGCGCATCCTCCTCCTCTCCGCCCTCGTCATCATCCTCTTCTGCATCATCCTCTGGCCGGTGCAGTGCGCCCTGAAGACGGGCAACCTGCGCTGCTTCACCAGGACTGTGGCCACCATGAGCAGGCCCGAGTACCTGCCCCCCAAACCCACCACGGCGGCAGCGGCGGCGGCGACAGAACCCCCTTTTTTCCAGTAGCAGCCCACTCTGGCTCTGCTCAGCTCTGTGCCTGCACCGGGGAGGAGCAGCAGGACCTGCTGCCCTGCCAGCATTCCTTGGATTGTTGGGCAGCCTGGGCAGCCTCTGCATCCCCCGTTGCTCTCGCTCCTGTGCCCACCCTGCCTCTGGGGGCTCTCCGCTGGAATGCTGCTCCAACCCGGAGTGCTGCTCCAAGGAGCTGCCTCTGCATCCTGCTGCCAAACTCTCCATGGAAACCAGAGCTGGGAAAGCCACGGGGAGGGTTCCAGGACTGTTTCCCTCGTGTGTGTGTGTGTGTGTCGCTGCCTTGGCTGGAGACCAGGTGGCAGCGGGTGCAGTTCCTCGAGCTCCCCGAGGGAATAAAGGGCTATTTTTTCTTTTTTGGCAAATTGAAGGATCTACGTGATTATTCCTACGAGGAGCTGGGATTGGGAGGGTAAAGACATGGCTGTATAAACAGGTGAAAAACATACTTATTTCACACGCTGGAGGGGTTTCAGTTGTGTTATGCAGCGTTGAGAGGTGCAACTGCTGCCTCCTGCTGACAAAACACGGATCCATCCCTGCTGCCTTCCTTCCCCGTGCTACTACCCTGACGAGCTCTTCAAGTAGCCATTCTACTCGTTTTTCCCAAGAAGATGCTTAAAAATCACTCATCCCCACCTGGAAGGTGGTTCTGCAGGGGTGAGCTCTGTGAGGCACAGACACAGCACCACCCCGACCCTCGACTTTCTGCATCAGCAAACTTCACTCAGAACCTCTCACTGTTGCCAAAAAAAGTTCCACCTTCTGACAGCTTTACCCTCCTAATCTTCAAATGTGTCAGTATTAAGACACAGGCCAGTGGCTGACACTCTACTTTTATTTAAAGCAGTGATCTGACAGTGATTTAACAGAGTCTTCATGCTGAAGGCGGCTCACAATGAATATTTTCTATTCAGACATGGATCTAAGACAGTATTGTATGCGAGTACCATTATGTGTATGTATTAAATTATGTTTTCTACAATGCAAGGTGTCAGTCTGTAGCAATTACCCCCCGTTATCCCTTTTTTACTTGCAGTTGGAGGTGTTCCCTCAGCAGTCCAGGTGCATCCCCAGGTCATGGTGGCACGGCTGTGCTCTGCTCCACCCCAGTGCTGTGCCATCCTGCACGTTTATCCTGCAAATTCACTCCTCCCACCGTCGGGGTGGGGTTGTCCCAGGTGAGACTTCCCTCTGTGTTCACCTGATTCGACCTGGAAAATGAGAAGCTGCAGAGCCTGCTCATCTCTCACTCCTTCCCAGCTGGTGACAGATGCTTCCAGCCTCCCTTTCCAGAAAAAAATCATCTCATTTGGAATAGAAAAGGCCGAAGCAACGGCAGAAATAGCTCAGGGGTGTTGCTGTGTGGAATTCCTGGGGAAAGCTGCTGCGTGAGCTGTGTCTGCACCTCCCCTGGGGTTCAGCTGCAGGCTGGTGTTACCTGTGCCAGCCACAGGAACGCTCCAGGCCCTGGAAAAATCTGCCAAAGCCACTGGGCTTGACAGGGATTCTCATTTGCCTCATCCTACCCGCTCTTCATATCTTCACAGCACCAAATTGAGTGAGTTCCTGGAAAAAAAGTAACTCACCGAGGCTTCAGGCAGGGAAGGCACTTCCATTTTTCCTCTCTCTTTCATTTGGGACTAAGCCCAGCAAACAGGCACTGGGAGGGATGAAGTGCTTTGTCATTACATCTTCATTAGCACTCGACTCCCACTGAGGAGACTCAAGGACAGGGCAGAGAGAAATAACATTTTCAGCCTCATAAAATCTACTGTTACGGTGGAAAACAGTTCCAGCTGTTCCCAGTGGTCTGTCCCCTCATGGGGGTTGTCCCTTTGCACATCCCCAGCCCACCACGGACTTGGAAATAAAGGCTGAAGGGTTTAGGTAACACACAGCTGAACCTTTCCCTCCTTATGGTCAAAGGAAGGGAAAACAGGGCCCTGAACAGCAGCATTTGGCCACGGGGACATTCAGGGTGTCCCACTGCTCACGCCATCAGTCCCTTTCCCAAAAATATCAAACTACTTAAAAGAAAGGAAAAAAAAAAAAGCCTGGAGAATATTCAACATTTATTAGAAGTGCAATAAAAATAAACAGTTCTCCTGCCCCTGGGACAAAGGAGCAGAAAAGACCAGCCAGGAATTACAGCCAAGGTGTGTCACTGTGCATTTCTTCAACCCTTTGGCTCAGCACTAACACCCCAACCATGCAGAGTCCTTCCCATTCCAGGGATGCAGGAAGAGACTGGGACATCAGCCCTGTGCCTGCTCTGGGGGTTCAGCACTGGCTCTGGGACCCAAAACTGCTCTGGGGGTTCAGGCACTGACCCTAAGACCTAAAACTGCTCTGGGAGTTCAGGCATTTTACCCTCAGACCCAAAACTGCTCTGGGGGTTCAGGTACTTTGTCCTCAGATCCAAAAGTGCTCTGGAGGTTCAAGCATTTTTTCCTCAGACCTAAAACTGCTCTGGGGGTTCAGGCATTTTTTCCTCAGACCTAAAACTGCTCTGGGGGTTCAG